CAAACCTGGGATGCTCAGGACTGACGCTAGTTTGGGAATGAATCATAGAATCACAGAATCGTTTGCGTTGGAAAAGCCCTTTAAGATCATCAAGTCCAACCGTTCCTCTAACCCTGCCATCCCACCACTAAACCCTGGCCCTAAAAATGAAGGTGGGAGCTGCAGGACTGGGAGCATCTCGCATGCTGTCTAAAGGCTGCTGAGAGCAGTGGGTTGCTCCCAGAGCAAAGCTGCTCCCTGTGTCCCAGGTGACAATGGTGGATCACCGCCACAGCCTGAGACTGCCTTGTCCCAAAGTGCTGGGGCAGGCTCACAGAACACCCCATTCAGCTGCTGGGCTCTGGATGAGCGAGGGTCCCAACAAGAGAGACAGCATCTTGAGCAGGATACAGGCACCCGTGGTGTTGCAAGGACGTGGCCTCAGTGCCCTCCTGCAGAACAGCCCTGGGACCCCCTGCTTGGTTGCCAGTCCCTGGCCAGGTCAGAGCTGGGACGGGTGCCTGGGATGGGTGCAGGAGAGCAGCGTTCCTACCAGTGTAGCCGATGGCAGTCTGAGAGGAGATGCGATGAGGGCCAGCCTGAGAAATTATCTCCACACGGTATCGGGACCCTGGCACCAGACCCTCCAGGTCAAGCTGGCTGACTCCACGGGGGACGGACACATTCCTGATGACGGACAGGGACTCAGCCACCGAGAGCTGTACCCAGTGGTCTCTGCCACCGCCTGACTCCACCCAGCTCACATGTAGCTCCTGGGGTCTCTGGCCAGGCTGTACACTCACATTAGCCAGAGACAGTGGATCTAGGGGGAAACACAGCACAGAGATCCATGAGATCAAGGAAGAAAGCAACTGAAGAAGCCAGGACACAGCCTGCACGTCTACACAGGGCTAAAGAAGAAGTGGTGGCAGCTGATTGCCAGCAGTCCTGTTGTCCTGGGGGACATGCAAGTTGCCTGTGCATGTCCCCAGGTTGCTGCTAGCAGGCAGGTGCTGTACCAAGAAGAGAGCACTCAGCTCCCCAGGGGGCTGCTCTGCTCCACAGACAGGGAGCAGCAAGCCCAGACGGGTCTCTGTGATTCCCCTCTTGCATCCCTTCCCACCAGTCCCAGGCTCTCCTTGAGACCATGAGTAGTCTAGGCAGAAGGTTCAGCTTGACTGGGGAAGGCCTGAGCTGGGGAAAAGGGTCTTTTGGGGCCCAGAAGCTGGCACACAGCACCTAACCAGCGGAAGGGAGCGTGCAGGTCCCACAGGAGCCCTCCCTCCGCCCGGACACGTCCATGTCACTGCCAGTCTTGCAGGCCCCACCAGGATGCCCTGTCCCTGCAGGAGGCTGGGGACACTTCTCACTCACATGTCCACTCGGTGGCAAAGTGTGATGAGGATCTGTATGGGCCAGCGACAACAGTCACCTTCAGGAAGTACTGAATGCCAGGGGACAGCCCCAGGAAGGTGAAGTTGTGAGTGTTTGGCCCCACTGAGATGTTCCTCTGCATTGGATGGCTCTTGCTGTAGAGCTGGAGGTGGAACTGGTCCACATCGCCAGCAGCCTTGTCCCAGAAGGCAGAGAGTCCCAGCGGGCGTCGGGTGTTGGTCAGCATCACGCCAGCCGGAGCAAGGGGGTCTGAGAGAGAAGAGACATGGGGGCAGTGAGAGGCAGTTGTGGTGGAGCTGCCGCGGTGCGGAGCGGGGGCCTGCGTGCACTTGTCCTGGGCACCCTCCACCACTTGTCCTGGGCACCCTCCACCACTTGTCCCTCATGTGCTCAGGTATCAGCCTGAGCTTATCAAACCCCAGAAGAGCCTGACCTTCTGCTCCACAGCAAACCTGGGAGCAGGTCCCAACCTTTCCTGCTGGGTGGCAGTTGGACATGTTTTCCATTCAGCGATGGGTTTCTCCTGCACTGAAGACCCTTTTACTTCCAACCCGTCTGAATGTGGTTCTGGTTGTCCTTCCACTCTTTGCCTGCCTATGCACCCCTGTCCCTGGTTCCCACCCTGTCCCAGTCATGGTCCGCACTCTGCCTTGCTTCCACACCGTGAGCTTTCTGCTCTCATTGGCCAGGTCATGGTTGTGATTCGCAGTATGGGTGGGGTAGGGGTTACACACTCACATGTCCAGTCTGTGGCTGATCGCACGGGGGATCTGTAAGGTCCAGCCATAGCAGCCACCTCCAGTGTATACTGTCGCCCGGGGACCAGGTCCTCAAAGGTGATATTTGTCCAGTTGTTCCCCACAGTCATGTTCCCGACCTGCTCCCGGGACTTGGTTTCCCGGAGGGTGCCTGTGTAGCCCGTGCTGCCAGCAGGATCTGCTCTCCAGGAGGCTTGCAGAGAGGTGCTGTGGCCCTGATTGCTGAGGGTCAGCTGCTCTGGGGGCAAAGGACCTAGGGAAGGTAAGGTCTAGAGTCACAACTGCGCCCGGGTGGAGGTCACCGGGCAGAAGTGCAGCCCCAAACGTGCTGGGGCTGGAGCCCCTTCCCTAAGAAAACCCACACTCAGGCGCTCTGGCCACCCGCGGGCTCTGAGCAGGCCACTGTCACCCCTGCTGACACCCACACACCAGTTTGGCAGGGACTGGGCCAGCAGAAAGTTCAAACTGGCATGGTAAGAGAGGACCGCTCTGGTGCTGGAGGAGGTGGTGGGTGGGATGGTCTGGACTGGGGCAGTGCAGAGGTGGTTCGGGGCAGATGCAGCCTGAGCAGCGCCATGGGAGGGCATGGGCAATGCTGACCTTGTGCTGGGCGACTGGCGTACAGACCAGGGCTGGGCACACCCAGCAGCACCGCTGCCTTCCCCCTGAGCCTTCGGCCTCCTGTTGCATGAAGCTGCAGGAGACCCATGCTACCAGGCGCCCTGAGGCACGACATGGCCAGGAACGGCAGGGCCCAGTGGGGACCCCAGGGCTGGGTGCAGCGAGGGCTGTGGCACTCACATGTCCAGTTGCTGATGCGCCGGGGTGTGGATGTGTAGGGGCCAGCCACGGTGCTGACCTCAAGGGGGTAGAGGGTCCCAGGACGGAGGCCCTCATAGGTGACGTTGGTGACGCCTCTGAGCAGAGAGCTGTTCTTCACTGGGTGCTCCACGGGGCTGAAGGCCAGCAGGTAGCCCTCTCCCGTTGCCTCCTCCCAGCTGGCTAGTAGGCTGTAGGGGCTGCCCTGGCTGGCCAGACTCACACCAGATGGTGCTAGCGGCTCTGCAGGGGACAAGGATGGGAGCATGCAGGTCACTGCGTGGGGCAGGGCATCCGGCAGCCCGGC